CAGGAATGCTCATTACTCTAAGTAGATTTTGATACAAATATGTATTCCTTTGTATTGTCCTGATTAATGTTATAATGCTTTTGGTGCAGTGTAGCTCGAAAGAGGCAGATTTTGCAAACACTCAGGAAATGGTAAGCACTCATTTATTATACTATCATAATTATATTTTCATATCCATCACACTTCTTATTCCCTTTTTATTCAGTCCACTGTTATTTAACAAGAGTAAGAAAGCCTGGAATAGAAACAATGTTAATGCTGTAACAGGAGAAATCCACTGTTTGAGTCATTTCACTTCAACCTCTCGGCTTTGCATGCATGTATGCCTATGTATGCTAAATAGAGTCCATAAAGAGCACATTGTCAAGACAACTCTAAAGATGTAAAGATTTTGCTCCCTTACATTTAAATTGCTAGACTTCTAGTGGAGTAAAGCATTGCACTATGAGCAAATCCTGAGCTCTAATTTACTCTAATTTGAAAGTAATCTACTACAAGTAAAATTTAGGCAGAACAGTCTATGAAAGACCACTGGGCATAAAAATGAGGGAATGAAGCAGCCTCTCTTTACAGTGCTTGTATTTCAGTGCAGCCACAAAAGCTCTGCTGCATTTAGTAAGCTTTATTCCAGACCACGTACAGCTAGTCTGATAGTATTAGGCTTTCCAAAAATCATAGAATCATAGAATCACAGAATGGTCTGGGTTGGAAGGGACCTTAAAGATCATCTAGTTCCAGCCCCCCTGCCATGGGCAGGGACACCCTCCACTAGACCAGGTTGCCCAAAGCCTCATCCAACCTGGCCTTCAACACTTCCAGGGATGGAGCATCCACAACTTCTCTGGGCAACCTGTTCCAGTGTCTCACCACCCTTATAGAAAAGAATTTCTTCCTTATATCTAATCTAAATCTCCCCTTCTTCAGCTTTACCGTTAGCCCTTGTCCTATCACTCCATGTCTTTGTAAACAGTCCCTCTCCAGCTTTCAAAAAAAAAAAAAAAAGAATGTCATCACTCAAAACACAGGACACTCTGCACTAGAAAGCTCAAAAAAGGCTACTATATTTATGTGATTTCAATACTATGAGTAAACAGAGAATTTTACAGTCCAGCAAATCTATTCAGAAGAATACTCTCCAAGTGCACCCTCTGAATAAAATGCTGTTTTATTTCTGAGAACTGTATAGATGATTAGTGGCATTCATATGTCACCACAGGATGGAGGGTGGTGTGTACTTAGCTGGTTTTCAGATGTCAGACCATCCAACCTAAAACTGCAGGTTTAATATTCAGCAGCGTCAGCCCTTATTCGATAGTCCCCACAGTCGTTTAGAGCTCAGTTCATAGATATCCTGAGCACTGCTGACCCCTGAAGGTTGAACTCATTGTGCATTTCTAGGCGGGAAACTAGAGAGCATTAATGAAGCATGCAAAAACATATGGTATTTTGTTTCAGATTAAATGAAAGACCTTTACATTGCTTTTTTTTTCCTTTCTTTGTAACCTCCAAGACACAGCTACTTCTGGGGGGGTTTCTTGGAAAACAGTGCACAAGATATGTGCGAATCTTGAACTTCCTTGTTTTTTCTTATGTTTGGAGTTTGGATCTCCATGGCAGTCGTTTGTTTGTATACCAGACTCTGATTGATAATCTTCCAGAGAAAATTGAAGCAAGCGATTTGGAGGGTTCCCTTGAGTTTATTGATCAGCTGCATCTCCTGAGCGTGGTGCCAGAATGGCTGGGTTACACATCCAGCCAAACAGCCTCGCAGCCTTGCTCTCTGGCCTTCTCATTTATGAATCTTCAAGGAAGTCAGTTAAGTTCACTTCATTTGATGCAGATCAAGTTTTTACTTAGTTCAGCACTCTGCATGAGGCACAAATGAGGCACCGCAGAGCTTAGTAGAAACACACTTCATTATCTTCATGTACTCGTGTTTTTGCATTGACTTCACATTTCAGTACCGTTTAGAGAAACAAAAAGGGTTTGTTTTTTTTAGAGAAGGCATAAATTAGACTTGTATCCATGAAAATCACATTTGCCCTTGTAAAACAAGGCATGCAAAGTAAGCAGCCCATGCAAGATGGAGAGGATCCGTCACTCAGGACGGTGGAATTAGAATTCAGAGTGACTCTGGAAAATTAGACTGAAAAAAATACAAGGATGAGCTTTAACAGGACAAGGCTGAAAGCCATATGGATGTGTGGGAGTAATTAACTGTCCCAATATAAGATAAGGGACAATGGGCAAGGGAGCAGATCTGTGATATAAAGTCTGAGCATCTAAACACAGCATTTAGTAACTTTTGCTTGCCAAGGCTGGCTCCCTCCACCTTCTTCCTCTTCCTCCTCCTCTCCCCACATCCTCCGCCTCTTCACATCTCTGACTCTGTTCTCCCTTCTGTGGGTCTGAGGGACTAGGAAGGCTGGAGGGGGAGCAGGGAGGGCGGTTTTGGAGAGAAGGGTCAGATCCACCATGCTGCTGTCTGTTGCCTGTCCCTGATCCACTCTTTTCCCATGAAGGCTTAGCACTCCCTGGGGGTGGGAGCTCCAGGGTGGAGCTGACTCCAGGAGCTTATTGGTGAGCTGAGTGTGCCCTACCGCTTATCCCAAGTTGAGTAAAAGTCAAAAGTGTCCTTGACTGGAAAAAGTCACTCCTGCTCTGTGCTGTCTGTGACGGTGCAGAAACAGGCAAGGATGCACAGCTGGTGGCTGGTGTCTACGGACACTTCACATTCAAAGCCCCCAGTTGTAGCTGTGCAGTTTGTTGGCTTAGCCTGAGTATCCACACAGAGAAATGGCTCCCTTGAACCTCTTTAAAAATTGTCTCTTCCTTCAAGCTTCACAAACCTAGAGCAAAAATGGTCTGGAGGAAGCCCTGGACAGCTATTAGGCATGAGCCTCACTTAGTCGCAAATTTGTTTGAAATTCCTCCCTGCCATTATCACTTAAAGCGCTTATTTCTCAATTTTTATTTTTTTTTTTTTTTACTTTTCTTGGTTGAGTTGCCTTAGAAACATTAATTTGCAGTATAGAAAGCACTGAGGTATTTCAGTCTTTTTTTCCTCACGTTGTATAATTTCTTACTCTAAGGAGATAGCGTTTCAGAACAAACATTGTAGAAAAATGTGATACAGAGGAAGATAAGTAATCTTAGGTTACTTACACAGTTGCTAGAGGGGAGGTAGGCACTGTCAGGAGAGAGGCCCCTGGGTTGCACACTTTAAAGTAGGTGATGTGAATATTTCATATTGCCACAAATGTAAAATTTCATTCCACCGCTGCTTGCGGTGCAGTTACCTTAACTGAGGGATCTTGCATGTAGCAAGTAAGTATTCAACAATTACTGAAAATACTGCATCAATTATTTTGAGATGTGGGAATCTAAATTAAGTTAGACTGTTGCACATGGAAATAATCTTTGCTTGATTGAAGTAATTTTATGCAATCCTCGTTTTCCTTCTGAAGTGAAATTCTTCCAATGTCCTAATTCTGGAAGGGAATGTTAACAATATTGGACCCCATGTTTTACAAGTACATTAGCTTGGACATTTACTAAAATTAACTAGGAACTCATTCAGGAATGTGTTCCAGCAATAAAGGTGAATGTTTTGAATTAAAATTTCCAGCCCTGCATCTAATTTCATTTTAATGAGACAAATAGAAAATGTTGGATTCCATTTGCTAATTAAAAACATTATTTTAAGTTTACTGTAAAAGGCACATATTTGTTATACATTTATAACAGTAAATTGTTATTGCCGTACTAATTGTTTCATTAATCCTAAATGAAATCCATATTTTGGAACTTCAACTAAAATCATTATTGGAAACAAGGGCTACAAAAAAGCTAGGAACATATGTATATGTATCTATATGTATATGTACAAACATGCATATATATACAGACAAAGATGTAAAGTTAAAAAAATATATATTTGCATAAACATATTTTTACATATATATATATGTGCTTTTACTTTTCTTTAAAATTAAAATATAATTCATGACTAGGAAACATCACATGGAATTAAGAGGAGTCTTTACTTATTTGGGAATTGTAAACCAACAGTGGTGGACATGTGATGCTAAACAGGAGAACCTAAGTGTTTTTGTCCCAGGATAAACTTACGTGTCAAAATGTGTATCAATGTGTTGGATCATGAGTAATTTTTGCTTGTTTGAAATGACAGGTTTTGTATGAAGGAGCGATAAATTAATGGAATGGAGAGGGGGGAACTTTGGGTTTCGATCCATCATGTGGAATTTTACAGAGAAGTAGCTTTCTGCTAAACACCGAGGCTATGGGTCACCACTCATATCATCAAAGAGCATTGGTCACAAAGTGGGGTAATACACCACAGTCAATCTAATAAAATGTAATTACTTTACCATG